ATGAATGTCCAATACAAGTGGTTCAATTTATTTGTTTAAACACTGGAAATGAAATTATTTGTTTACCACCATCAACCTCATTGTTCTATCAACAAAGTCAAGAAGCAAGAACACGTTCAGCACCAACAAGTAAAAGATTGACTAATATAATACCTTCAATTTAGTTATTCTTCTATTTTTCTTTTTAGCTAGTACAACATTTGATATAAATACATTAAATGATCCAATGATTGTTCTTAAATGGAATATGAATGATAGTGTAATAAGATGTCGACAATTACGTCAACAAAAACAATGGTTTAACTTTTATATTTCACAAAGTGCCGATTCTGATTATGATAAAATAACATCTTGTGTATCAATTGATTATCGTCTCTTATTTATGGGCAAAAAATCTGGACTCATTGAAGTATTTAAAGTGAAACGATCAAAAACATCGTCATCACCATGTGGAATTGAATTAATTCGACGATGTCTACCATTTATTGCTCATCGATCACCTATAACATGTTTACATGCTAATAAACAATTTAGTCTTCTATTAAGTACAAGTGCTGATGGAATATTGATCTTATGGGATATAAATCGGTCAGTGTCTTATAAATCAAAACTTGTTAAAATCATATTGGATAGTTTTCTTTTATTTTAGTTTAAGTTATGTTCGTCAATTTAAACATGATGATAATCCAATTTATTATATTTGTACATCTGAGACAACATGTGATATTTGTTATTTATGTTCAAATGGTAGTTCTCAATGGTATCTATTTTATTTGACATGCAACTGTGATCTCATTGGATCACTTACATTTAACGAACAAATTAATTGTGTATGTTTTACAAATGCTCAAGAGGGACAGGCAGTAAATATGATTATTGGTGGTTTTGAAACGGGTAAAATTCAAATGTGGAGTACATGGGATTTAACATTATTACGACAATTAGACTTTCATCAATTAAAAGCATGTCCAATTGTAGCCATAATTGTATCAAAAATAGATCGACGTCGTTTGTACATCAGTGATAGAGATAAACAATTACATGTCATTGAAACAAATGGACAGATTAATTCACAAATTAATTCAAATAGATCAGCAGTATTAAAAACATCACAACCACCACAAATACTATTTCTTACTTAGTTTAAAAGTACAAAAATGACAACCGCTGCTTATTCTAATTGTTTAAATTAGATGAGTGTAATGTGAAAAAGCTCATTAAATTCTATCATTTTTCTCTATCGCTATCATTAAGTCACGGTGCTACGCGCATATAAACAGTTTAAACGTAATTTAAATATCTTGGTGCAGATAAAAAAAAAGTATATAATGCTAATGTTTAAGGTGCAATTTTGATTGATTCTATAGTTGACTATATGATATAGGAAAATGTCCATTGTATCTTTTTTCTTCGAACATCCATAATGTTATTCCATTTTTTAATCTTATATCATAGCAACAAAAGTTATCTTATAAATAGTAAAAGTGAAGTCATCTTAAAAAAACAGTGTTCTGTTGTTTATGTTCTATTGAATGAATGAATAGTCAACACTATTTTCTCTTTATGATGATGGTGTTATTTTTGTGTGCAATATTCTTTCTTTTTTCATTGGAGAATCTTTGTGAATATGTTATTTACTATTTTGATCAAATTTGTTTTTGCTATATACATACTCAACGGGTTATTTTGTTTTTATTTTTAATTTATTTTTTAGGTTTTTTGACTAAGTTAATAGATTATTTTTTATCTTGTTTATTTTCAAACGTCTTGGTGTATGTGTGATGTGTACATGATCTTCTTGTTTTCTTGCGTTAATAATGGTTTTCTTGTTAAAAAACAAAAAGATATTATTTCACTATATAAACTATTTTCATAAAAAAAAACAAGTTTAATGAAAATATTTTAGAGTTAAAGAGTTACTAAATCGCCTTTATTCTTAAATTAGTCTCTATTAGATTATGGCATCACTCAAAAGTCTTCTTTCAACTTACTAATGAAACTTTTTAATTCATCTAGACATTTAGTTTATGTAAGTGTAACAAGGATAAGCATAGTTTGATTGAACATAGTTTGAAGTATTAATAACGACTCTCATATATATTCCTCAGATTTTGTATTTTTTCTTTTAGATTTGCTATATTATCATCTCTAAAATAAATATTTGAATCATTGATCGAATTTTTCCAGAAAAATCTGCTAGATTTTGTACTCTGGATCGTGTGGTGCATCTCTTCACTCAAGTCGGTTTCAAAAATTACGATAGTCTTCTATTCTTTCAAACTTTGGTAGTTGATCGGTAATAGTAAGTGAGAAGAATAACTCGATTGTTCATGGAGTTTTTCGTTGCCTGTTTTTGGCCCGGCGGCTTCCATTTTATTCCGTATTTTCCACTTATAAAACTCATTTATGAACATAATTTGATCGTTTTGTAGCGACATCATGCGGAGGTGTGTAATATTATTGCACATAAGTAATTGACAGAGTACTTCGACCAATAAAACGCGAACGGAGTTTTTATAACTGTTGTGCGGTTGTTTTTTTCGCTCCAAGGAGCCAAGATCAATGCGAAGACAGTCTGTTCTTGAAGCTGCTATTCGGAGCTAAAAGGAAACAACGCTTTTGTGCTGCATGTGCATATGATAAACATGATATAATATACAGAAATATATAACTTCTTGTTAGAAGAATAATGACAGATAATTACAAAGTCTACTGTTCCGTTGATTTGGCTTAAAACAACCCGACAAATCTACGAAATACGTGTTGGTTAACGTTTTCTCTCAAGTATATTACTCAAATGAATCTTAAAGTCGTAGAGTATATTTCTCTACTAAGAAGAAAATTTTCATAGTGGAAAACTGCAGGCATATGGAGTAGATTATGTAAACGGCATTCCGATTTGATATATTAGAAACTTAGACCAGGATTTTTATGGGGCAGTACAACATTGGCAATACAATTCGGATTAAAATTATTCTCACGCGATAAAAATTAATTATGTACGAAAAATTTTTGGGTGTCGAGACTGCTGACGATGCAAATTGTCGTTTCAGTTCTTGATGATTTTATTATACTGGAGTTTTGAAATCATGTGGGATTATAGAATTAATACATAGTTGTTATCCACATCTTATACAAGAGAATTTTGGTTCGTGTCATGCGACAAACTTTGTTGTATTGCACGTTAAAAGTAAAAGGCTATTATGATTTGTGATTGAATCAACTTTCAGATTAGAGAATTAACATACTGTACGTCAACTGATATTATCTAATTCAAATTATCTACATCCTCTCATTATAGTTACAAATTCTTCGTTACTGTCAACAAGTATTATCACAATTAAATCGAAAATTAATCTCAGTACAATTAATTCATATTTTTTATATCGAATTATCGATTGTATATAGTACAATGGTAATGTGATGTTTGTTGAAATGACTGTAGCACAAAGTATGGTGTGATGTTTGGGTCCTAATTGCTATTTATAGTTGTCCAAGTTATGTCTGACTCGTTTTTTTAATATTCGTGTAAGTTGTTGTGCTCTTTCAGTCAAACATAGTGATAATGTTGATTATTTCATAAATCAACTAGAATTCATTAAAAGTCATAATTCATGATAGTCTATGTGTACACTTTGTTTTTTGAATGGTTTTCTCGCAAAAAAGGTCTTAATTAGGCTTTCAAAACTAATGAAAGTGATTTTGAGTTTCGTTAATTACAAGGCGATATTATAAACTATAATTTACTTCTATTTTTAGATAATTTAAAACTATAAAAATGTCTTACTTTTGTCGTACAATTTCTACGTTACGTATTTCTTCCTTATCATCACCGTTGCGTGGTGTTATTCTATCTCGTTTAAACGCCAGTACAACACCCTCTTCAACATCAGCGGCATCAGGCAGTACAAGTGGTTCATCAAAACAAACGGGTGGTACCAACAGAACATCTGATCAAAGTACCCAAACGTCTGGTTCAGGCGGTAGTGGAGCAGCTAAGCCAGCTAAGTCATCCGTGTTGCCTGGTAGTTCAACATATAGTGAAAAATCGAATCCAACAAAAACAAGTAGTGAATCTCAGGATACTGGAGCTAATCGGTCTACAGATGCATCATCGTCAAGTAAAACAAGCAGTTCAAAACAATCATCGAGGTATGTATAGTTGTTTTCTAGCTTTTTAAAATTGATTTGTAGCTGATACATAAGTATTATCGAAAAGAAAGATATTGAAAAACGAGACTAAAGAGTTGTGTATCATTTCTTGAGGAATATATTTGTTTCTCTTTGCATCTGATTAATTAATTTTATCTCTACTAAAATTTGACTGTTACGATTATGTTCAGTTCATCAGACAGTCAATCAGTATTAAATTCAACATCTGGTCGATTAATGATTGGTGGTCTAGTCATTATTGGTGTATATAGTGCATGGAAAATGTTATATAATAATCCAGATGTTAAAAAAAGCCATGATCATGTTAAAAAAGAATTGACAAAAAATACTCCCGATAGTCAATTACATCACGATATGATGTCTCAACATAAACCAAAAGAAGCTGAAAAATGAAAAAAGTCATATTCTAAAACGATTTAATCATATATAATCCCGCTACAAAAAATAAATATTATTCTTTCTATATACTCTCTTATTGGTGAGCTGTTTTTTTTTTCTTGACTAACAACCTATTATTCAAGAATTACTGTATAATGGAAAACATGGCTAATATCGTTCGACAAAAGATGCAGTGTACAAAATAATTCTTTTAAAGAGTAGTGCAGTACCTTTTTTTTTACTTTGTGAACTTACTCTGTTTAAGCTACTTGTTAGTAGTGCAAGGACTCTACTTTTTAGAGGATCTAGTATCTGATGGTGACGTCATAACTTGATCTAATAGTAAAGTGTCGTTCCTGTTTGTCAGAAATTCGCTTACATCCGTTTAAAGCAGATGATATTTTCTTGTTAGCAATTTTTCAAGTACTCAGTTAAAAATCATGTTTCTCAGATTGTAATTACTTCTATTTTAACTCGTTCTTTCGTTTCTCATGTGATATACTATCTTTTTATTTTTATTTATTTGTAGTTTGTAGTATTTTAACGCTTCTTCTTCTTGTCTATTTATAAATTGTTATTACTATGTTTTTTTTTCGTAAAAAGTTTATTTAATGATAAAATAGTCTTAATTCGAAATAATCATTTTTGTGATAGTGGTTTTAGATTAAACCTTTAGATAAAAGATAACGTTGTTTTAGTAAAATAATTCAGACTTCTCTAATTTTAGAATTAAGATTTTTGGCTTTATATCGATATAAGATATTTTAAAATATTGCATTTATAGAAAATAATGGCTCACATTTGTCGTACGGTATCAATATTCACTCGTGTGACCACCCCACGTTACGGTGGCTTAATTTTATCTCGTATGAACGCTAGTTCACAATCATCTTCATCATCGTCAGCCAAAACACCATCGACAGGATCAGTTAAAACTCAAACAGGTAGTGCTTCTAATACAACAAGTGGAGCATCTTCAACTTCCTCCACCTCTGACTCATTGTCAAACAAGCAACAGTATGCCGGAAAAGCACAAACAGAAACGGCAAGTGGGAAAAATAAAGGCGGTAGTTCAGCATCAGGTGAGTGTATAATTTATTGCATTTTCTGACTCTTTTGTTAGAAGTAATATCATCTTTTAGAATTACCACCAAGTTCAACATCAAAAGAAGATTCAAATCCAACAAAAACAAGTAGTGAAGCACAAAATACAGGAGGAAATCGACCAATTACTGCATCATCATCATCAAGTAAAACAAGCGATCCAAAACAATCACCAGAGTAAACGTAAAGAGTAATATGTGTAAAGAGCCGATAAATAAAATGTGTACTGCTCCATTTTTAGAGGACGTGAAAGTCAATCAATATTTAATTCAACGGGTGGACGTATAGCTATATTAGCTATA